GAGAGGTTAGGCAAGAGGATACTATATCGTCAAAACTATTTACCTCCACCATCGAGAACGTCATAAGAACACTGGAATAGGACGACATAAGAGTGAAAATTGGTGGACTGCAATGAACCATGTTTGCTATACTGATGATACCGTTTTTATAACAGCAAACATTAGCTGGGAAGAGCGAAGCGAATGCTTCTCGGTTACGATAACTCCTGTTGAAGACTAGTATTCAACTAGGTCTCACAAAAACGATGATCATAAGAAATGGAGTGGTTTCGTGTGCCACATTCACGCTCAACGGAACGAGTATCTTCGAATGCTTCAGTTACGTCTAGAAATCAATGTTACGAAAGAATTAACACCAAAGTTGAGCAAATGGAAGTGAGGAGCATGGCGAGCTTTCAAGAGTATACACGACATAGTGAGGAAAATAAAGAACACCCGACTGGTACCCTTTCGACTCCGCCATTTTCCTCTCTTAAGTTATGCGTCAGAAATCTGGCTGTTGCATAAGAAGGATTAAAAATAATTCAGCATTGTAGAGTGCGAAGTCGAAAGAATGATTCCAAGAGTGCCCCGCATCACGCTAATGAAAGAGGGGATCAGATGCCTCGAAATACGACAGCGATCAAAAACGGAGAACGTCGTTTCGCACGCCGTATTGTCGAAGATAAGGTATGTGGAATGCACATAGTAGTAACCGATGAGCAAAAGCTCTTAGCGAATGGATCCCTTGAAAAAAATGTTGAATGTGCCACAGGATGACCATCGACTTGATGGTCAGCGTTCTTCACGAAAACTGCAGATATAAGACGTAATTCTCAAAGAGGCCTTAAAGTGGGTACAGCCCACTGGCTTTCTCTTGCACCTGACAGAGAAGACGGCGACAGATTATACAGAAGATACTTGTTTGAGAAGATATAGAACACTGACCTTCCATTGCCTTTGCTACGTTACGAATGAAGGCGAATGCACGACTCATCCCTAAAGGATTAACAACCGCCGAATACCTTGTCCTCTATGGGTTATTCCATGTTAGCTGTTTACATGAATAGAAGATCTCTTTAATGATTTATTAAGCATTTCTTGTCCGGTGAATAAGATTAGGATGGGCTTTAATCATCATATAGTGCGGGTTTGTGCCAGGCTCTTTTTCTTGAATTCTTACCGTACTCATCGAGCAAACATTTTTATAAATTCATCGTTTTCTCTCTCAGCAACCTCGAGGTTGTTAAATAGCACACGTGTACTTCCATACAATAACACACACACACAACACAACCGTAGCTGACGTTTCGGCAAAATCACCTTCTTCGGAGCCCGGAAGGGTACACTAATACGCAACTTACTAAGTCAAACACTTCAACAGCACAAACAGAAAGTTGGAAATCTGAGCGATAATTAAAAGACCACCGGCTGCTCGAAAAAGCCACGGTTTTTTACCTGCCTTCCACCGAGGAAGAACAGCCGCTCAGAGTCGCACATGACACACAGTCGCACACATACTGCACCACCCCACATCAAAAATCAATTGTGAGATACGGGGAGAGATCACATGTTATCTCAAGGCGTTCTTCCCTGCTATTCATTGTGGGATTTTTGGCAATTATCCAAAAAGCCTCGAGGAGTTTGCGCGTTGGTGTTTTAGGATCCTATGCGAAGAGAGCGACTTTTACATCAAAATCGTTTCCGTTGTTTTTGTATCCTATGCGCGCCTAGTGGGGTACGGTATGGCTAGGTGCCAGCCGCTGCCCCATTGCCAACCCCCTTACTTGCGCGAAATATTTCTCAGACCATCTGAAAATCGAGCAGTTTAGGCACTCATTTAAGAGAACCATAAGCTGCTGGTTGGACAAGCCATGCATATTTACTCCTCCTTCATGCTCAACAAGAAGTTCGAAGATGGCTTGCATTGCGGAGTCATTCGAAACGTTGGTGTACAACGCGGTGACGTCAAAAGACTCCATCACGTACGCGTTATTAGAAGTCGCATTATAAAGACGTTCTAGGAGCTTTTTCATTGTTTTTATGTCTAAGATAGAAGCCTCTGTTCTCGGTCTCCGGTCACTACTCTACTGCAGACATGTAGGTGAATGTTTTGTCATCTTCTCTACTCAGGAGAAGATGGACAAATGCTTAAAATTTTTGAATGAGCAGTCTGAGTATATTAAATTCACCCGAAAAAACCGAAAGAAGCCTGGCTCCTGTTTCTAAACGTTCAAATAAGCCTATCAAGTAGCGGTTACATGACAAAATGATGCAGAAAACCAAGCAACAAAAACATCCTGGTTCATTCCCTTTCTTCCTACCCTTCACGTACAAAGAGGGCGCTTGTGAAAAACATTTCAGCCATCAATCGATCAGCCACCTCTGTGTGCACTACCAGGGAACTAAAGGAAGAATCGCGCGACTTGGCTCGGCAAATAACCATCTCTAAAATGGCTACGAAATAGTAACCCGCGGCATAAGTCTAGAAGGGGAGCGATGCCCCAAAAGCAAAAACGTGGCCAAGACAAAACCCCGTTTATGTTGCCCTTCATTAGCAATGAAGTAAGTGTAGCTATAAAACGATGCTTTAGAAGGGCAGGTCTAGAGGAATCGGGAGCGATAGTTGAAATACCTCCAAACACTCTTCGTCGTCAATTAGTTCGTAACCGCCTATACGGTCGTCTCTGTGAAACACAAAATTGCGTAATCCGCCCTTTTGGCAGGGATAGTGACTGCTTGAGTTTAGGTACGATATACTTGATCTCTTGTGGCACTTGTGGAGACAAATATATTGGCAAAACGGGCAGACCTTTATGTATCCGCGTAAAAAAACACCTAGATGGCAAACGAAGACCAAAACAAGGCACACCACTGGGCACGCACAGGATGATCAGAAAAGATTTTGATGTAAAAGTCGCTATCATCGCACGTGAGACTAAAACACCAACGCACAAACACCTCGAGGCTTTTTTGATAAATACCAGGAACCCTAGAATGAACAGCAGGGAGGAATGCCCAGAGATCACACGTGGTTTGACACCCTCCCTTCGTATCGGTCGTTGATGGGGGTTGTGCAGTCGTCAGCCATATGCGACTCTGAGAGGCAGTTCTTCCTCGGTGAAAGACAGTTGAAAACAAGCTGTAGGTTTTTTCGAAAAACCGTAGATCATGTAATTACAATTTAACGTATTATTTACTGCCTATTCTTCTTAACGGCAGGGTATGCATTGTGAAATATAACTTCAATGATGCTGAGATATTTGCAAAACTCCGGACCGCAGGTGTCTGCGGTGGGAAACGAACGCAAAAGATCGATAGAACTAGCTGAGATACAGGTGAAACGAAGGATCCGCATGGTGTGGTGGTGAAGTGCGCTACTCCCCGGTAAGGACAATAACGCGTTCGTTCCGCACTGTATACACCTGCGGTCCGGAGTTTTGCAAATATCTCAGCATCATTGAAGTTATATTTCACAATGTATATCCTGCTGTTAAAAAAAATAGGCAGTAAATAATACGTTAAATTGTGATTATAACTGCGGCCTCAGCTTAACTGGGTTCGTTGCCGATTTATGCTCCCCAGATGAATCCTGTTGACGGGTGATTGCTGATGGCAAAAGATCGATAGAACTAGCTGAGAGACAGACGAAGCGAAGGACCCGGATGGTGTGGTGGTGAAGTGCGCTACTCCCCGGTAAGGACAATAACGCGTTCGTTCTCCACTGCATACACCTGCGGTCCGGAGTTTTGCAAACATCTCAGCATCATTGATCTTGTAATTATCGTGCAGATTTTCATCGTTTTGTTTGCGTTGTTGAAGCGCTTGACCTAGTAAGTTGCGTATTAATGTACCCTTCCAGACTCTGAAGAAGGCCATTCTGCCGAAACGTCGGCTACGGTTCTGTTGTATGTGTGTTATTGTATGGAAGTAAACGTGTGCTGTCTAACAACCTCTCCATTGCTGAGAAAGAAAACGACGAATTCATAATCCAATGCCGAGGTTAATAGAAAGTCGATCCTGGGAACTATTACAAGATGGACCAGCAAACATTTTTATTTAAAGAGAATTGACAATAAACGAAATTAAAGCATTAGTTCAGGAAAATAAAAGCCATTTGCAAACGCATACACGAAACTCCCACATTCATTCTTACGTACATACTCACCAGTATACATAGTGCACAGAAACGAATGAATGCGCACATACACACGCATACACAAGTGGACACACACTAACATACACACGCCGACACAATTACACACATGCACATTCACGCAGTAGTAGCAGATCACATATAGCCAAACCCGTTCAGTTCACACAAATCTATGACGACGACAACATAATACTGAGAGGCCGTCAATGATGAGTTATCACTAGTATCACAACGGCTATTACCAATGAACTAAGCAGTTAATACAACTTGACGCCGTAGAGCGCCAGATCGGTTATCGTCTACAATAATCTCTGCAATGCAAAAATAGAGTGAACCATAATCCACTAGAGGAACAACATAAATCCGAGAAATGTAAGCATGTCTAATCACAGATTACAGTGACAACATGGCAGCACAGTTTGTTCAAGACGTTTCTATGGGCAAAAACTAACGAAAAAGAATCTCATGAAAAAGAAGATCATCGCTGTCGAGCTGTTCTTTCCAGATTTCCGCTATATCAAACACACTTTCAGAGGATAGTAGCCCAAACGGTTTAAAATATAAAGCTATGGTATCAGACATAGTTAAAACTGAACGCCTTTGTATCCGATTTTCTTTAATTTCACACCGTGTTTCCTGTCATAGCTTTGTTTTCTCAAGGCTCTAGTCTAGTGTTCGACGTTTTTGGGTTCAAGATGATCAGCACGAACTACCTCTGATACGTAGTAGTTACAAGGGCACAAAATTTTATGTCATAGTAGTTACCTTCAGTTTGAAACATTCATCGTAACAGAGTGAATGTCTCAGGCTGATGTCTAAACGACTATAAGCTGTCTAATTGCGAGACAAGAGAGAATAAGGTCGCTTAGCTAAACAGTTCTGTTTGCTTGTGTGGTTGTTCAGTCGTCTTCATAAAATAGGTGGTCATTAGACCTTTGCCTTTCACGTTAATCTCTCCCCGACATTCGAACTCGAAGCCTTCCTTCTCCAGAATGTTCTTCGTCTCTTCCGTCACCTAAACTTCAAATTTAGTCCAGAAAACAGAAACGGAAAAGTAAAACAAAAGATGAGAAGAATTAACAGCTCGGAGTTGATCAATCTGAGGTATGCGCTAAGCATTTGACTTCATCAAGCATTGTTGAAGCTAGTTGAATGCACTTATGGTCTATACATATAAACTCGCGGTGGCCCTGATGTACCAATTCAGTACTGTTATCCTCCCAAACAGCTTTAACACTAATTTGCCAAACCCAAAGAGATAGAAGGATTGGTTAACCTGATGCGCGTTGATCGAACCAATGACTACGTGTGTATCGTAAGGCACCTCTAACCACTGAGCTTTACGTGCCCTAGTGAAATAGTGAAGTATCTGTTGTTAACAGGAGGATTAATAAATCAACAGATAAGCGGTGGAAACAGTAAAAATATTCGATCGTAGGGCACTTATCCACAGGGAATATCTTCTAATGTAACAATGCCTATATCTAAAAAGTTAGCTTTCATGCCATCTAATCTTCTGCGGAACTAGTATAAACTAATTGCTTCAAATAGTTTACAGCTGTGTCACTCTATGATATCACCAAAAAAGGCTTTGATATGTACTCGCGGAAGCGAAAATGCAGAGGACATCACAGTAAAAATTTGTTGCTCTTTGTATCCGTCGAAGAGGCCGGACGAATTGGTTGCCTTTGGTGAGAAGGGCACGCAGAGTTTACTACTACAGGCTCCGAGCTAGATTAAAGAGTGTGATGGGCGTTTATAAAGGTCATCTCTGATTTTTACTGAATTGGGACTGAGATACATTAGAGATAGGACTAAAACTTTTCGGATTTTAACTAATTATTTAATTTAGGTAGATGATTCTTTTTATATGTTGCACTTGACGTGCGACCGACGACGCCCATTCCGAAAATTAGAATAATTCAGTGTTCTGTTGACAAGCAAATCCGAGGTTGCTACTTTATTTTTATTTATGAACAAGCAGACGTTTTAGCGGATTTCGCCTTCCTCAGAGCCTGGAGAGGCTTCTTGTTTGGTTACGGAGGTGTTCAGCTTGGTAGATTGCAGCCAAGTTGACCTTTCCAGGCATTGAAAGTGCTGAAATCCACCAAAATGTCAGCTTGTTCATAAATAAAAAACAAAATAGCAACATCGGCTTTTTTCGTCAAGAAAATAGTAAATTATTCGATCAATGCTGAGGTTAGCAGAAAGTCTCTCGTGGTAACTGCCAATAATTAGAAATAGGGGAACCTCTTAAGCACTTTCTAAAGCCGAATTTATGCTAGTATTATACTTCGTTATATAATTTATATCATAGTTCTGATGACTTTGGTTTTCAGCAGATAGAGCTTTGAGCAGTTGACCATAGGCTGCACAACTAACGCTGCAGAAGATGAACACGTTGAGCTACGAAATCACACTTCTGCACAATATTTGAAGGCCCCCTCGTTAAGCAACTAGCACATTTCTAAACGATCTCGAGAAATAGCGAAGAAAAGCTTCAACAATCAAGTGACTGCTAAAACGCCCTTTAGGGACTCGTCACTTCCAGACCCCAAAACTGTATCCTTCTAAACCAAATAAGCCTATACCTTGTTGGAAAAATGTGCGGGCTCTGACGGCTTTTATTTCGATCAAAAAGTTTACGAAATGCTAACTGCTTGTAAATCAATCTAATATCTCATCGATAAAGGGACAATGGAACTGCATGGAATGAGCGATGTTTTTCTGCACGGACAATGTCACCTACGGGAATATCTGGCCTCGTCGGAGTTCGCAATTCAACAAGAGAGCACAGTTTAATCCCTCGACTTGCCTTCATAGGAAGGCAAGTCACGAACTTTCCGGAAGCAAAATTACTCTAGTGTGCTTGAATGATTCCTTAATGAAGCAAGGAATTAGGAAAGTTAAAATGATTGTGGTGTACTCGCATCCTAACAAATTTCCGATGATGCTGGTTTCCAAATAACTGCTGACATTTTTCCGGTAATTCGATGTTTTTCTTCAATAAGCAGACACAAGGTTGTTATTATAGGATTTATTAGAATACAATAGCTGACGTTTCTACGGTTTCGCCTTTTTTAGAGCCGTTTATTTGGTGTAAGTATTTAAGTTAGTTGATGGATAGCAGCCGCACAGAGTAATACATGGGCGATTTTTCCGGTAATTATAGCGCTTCGCATAACTTGATAGACTTGTAAAAGGAACTCTGCCTTATAGCTTATAGGTATGCTTATAGGTATGCATCTAGCATTCATATGATACTTGATACTTGAACGGCCCGTCCTCACTGGTTGTGTGGTCACCATTTTCGAAGATTTGCTGGTGAGACCATTTTGGTTCCCTGGAATTCCGAGGTCAGCCTGGCCAAAGTCTGCCTCAGGTCGTCACCACCACAGGTAATCGCAGCCCTTGTGAATCAGAAGGAGCTTTACCACTACACGACTTTGATACCAGGACGGTGGGTGATTCTGGTATTGGTTTACTCCTAGCCAGGCTTCCTGATGGAAAAGCCAGACTCCTTCTCAGCTTGGGAGACCCTGCCGGAGGACGAATCTCCGCTGTACATCGCAGTCCGACACCCAAGAACACGTTCCAGCCACGATGAGGCGGTAAACCGTTGGGAGAGGATTCATATAAAGAGCCCAAAATTTAAATTATTAAAAAAGAAATCAAAAACTTAAACTAAGGATTGGATGGTGCAATGCTGCTGGTACTGTTCTCTGCGAGCACGGTACTGTCCGACCCTATCCTGGACTCACCAAGCCTCTCATCCACCAGCATGAGGAAATTTGTACCGAACTTTTTGGTAGATTCACATTTTTAAAAAATCAAAAAATTAAATACTTTATTGAACTTCAGTTGTTGGAATTCTCCTTCTCACTGTCATTGATGAAAAAACAGTGTACTAAATCAGAAAATGTACCTGTATCTTTCCGGGAACACCTGAGGAGTCCATACGGCTAGCGACATTCACTGAATTGCCCCAAATGTCGTAATGCGGTTTCATTAAACCTATTACACCAGCCACCACAGGACCAACGTTAATACCTGAAAAGTTTTCACTGTCTTGGTAATTTCGGTGAACAGTCGGTATGAGCGCATAGACAACAATCGGTATGAGCGCTTTGACTATGTCTAATGTTCAGTCTTGGTATTAATAACCAGCCTCCTTTTTTCAAACCGTCTCATCTAACTTCTCTCCAGCTTCTCCAAAACTTTTTGTTCAGAAGGTTATAGAAGCGCTTAACGCAACGGTTAGTTCTGCTTTAGAATACACACTGTTTCGGTCGTACCGCACTCTGATTTCTCCAGGCCTTCCATTCCTCTGAAGGCGGAAAAGTAGTGCCAGACTTTTCCAAAAGGTCAAAATACTTGCAGAGTACCTTTTATTTTACTACTATTTTTCATTACATGATCCAAAATCACAAGTACTACAATGTGTAAATCTCAGCAAATCTTGAATTCAATTTGTTTCCTCACATCCACCATCTATGAAGATCTTCGAACTTTCTCTCAGCCGATTCGGGTGCTAAATGAGGATTGTTGTCTTCTCCATGAATGTTATCAAATCCTCGTCAAGTTGGTTCTCTCTGAGGTCCCTGGCAGAGCGGGCTGCAGTGTTTCTACTTGGACTGAAGGAAATGAGCTTATCAAGAGAAGTTTGGTACCAATTTTTCGACTTAGAAGAGATGAGAGGTCAAGTGAGTCCGGCAAGGGTCGAAGTAGAGCCTGGATAGGTTAAGGCAGTCCACGTAATGAGTGCGATCACCACCACTGCGCTATCCGATTCCTGATAGGCTTCAAGATTAGATTCTCACAAATCATTTTATAGGCCAGATAAGCGGGTCGTACTTCATGGGACTACAGTAGCTACAGATCAGAGGTGAATTCAGGAATTCTAGTAAACCATTTCACACAAATGTAAACACCTTGTAAGTCGGGAAAACATAGGAATTCACACATTTTAAAAAAACCGTTACGAAAAGGTATTCCTCTAATCGTATACCTCCAAAAAACACTTGAAGTACAGGTCCTATACAAAAATTCCAAAACAGGTACAGCCCTTGTTAGCCAAGAAGATCATTTAGCTAAGTATTAAATAACGACGGAAATATAAAACAAATATGTTTGCAATTAGATGATATGTATCATAAACGTTGAATTAAATGATAAAGCAAACCAATTCGTAGATCGAAGTTGTTGAAACTGTGCTCATTGATGGCTTGGATTTTGTCGAGCAGTTGCTGGGCAAAACGGGCGACAGCCACCACGTGTGAGTTGCCTTCGGTCTGAGCACACAGAAATACGGTAGAGCAAGGAATCCATTCCAATCCTAGTCAATTTATAGCACAGTGCCACTCCTCCTCCTCGTCCGTTTTCTTTTTACTCTCTCAATTTCCCATTATTTTAAGGGTTATTTCATATCCCACAAATTACACAGGAAAATGAAAGAGAAATTAATGAAAAAACAGTGAAACTTTCTGTTAGGAGACGCCGGACTGTTTGCAAAGTTTTCCAAAAACCCCACACAGTGAGCTCAAGATATGACTATAATGATCAAATCGTGATGACTTACCGCTCAAAAGTAAGAGAACAGATTGAAATCATTCATTCGTTTAACTTTGTAGTGGCCAAACCACAAAAGTTTTTCCTTAATCGGTCTCATACCTGTGCAGAAATACTTTTTTCTCGAGAACTGTTCTTCAAAGCTTACAATGAACATTCTCATCTATTGGTTTCCTGGTTATATCTGTTATTTTACTTTTGAGTGGTAGGTTACAATTTGCTCCATAAAAAGAGTTTAAGAAACTTTTTTATTTTATTTAATCTGTCTTCATATCTACTGGGGGGATCCCAGCACTTTTCGCATTCGATTCGTTTCCTCGCATCAATCGTCAACGAAGGCCTTCCAAATTTTATTCGCGGCTTCGGTTGTTGCTTGAGGAGTTTCATTTCATATTGAATGCCTTAGCCTTAGAATACTGGTTGAGCCATTCTCCGTGGAGTCCTGAGGGTTGGCCCAGAGCGGAATCGAAATAGCACCATGCTCGTGATGGTAGACATAACTATCACTGTGCTATCCGCCCCATGTTTAAGCAAATACCAATAACTCTAACTGAAAGTGATTAACAACGGGAAAGTTTTCTTACCCTACTGTAGAGCACCTGCTACTCTTAATTGGAGAATACAGTAAAGTCCACCACACCTACCTTACCGCATAGTCCACTGGCAGCCATGTAAGTCGTTGAGATAGTTTTTATCTTCTCTATACACTTGAACTCATCTCTGTCAAGCAGCTAGAAAAGGGTTTCATGAAAAACTCCGAAGTGTTCCGATGTTAAAGGCTTTTTTATTATTACCGGTGCTATAAGGTGTTAAAGAGTATTCGACACTTTTTTTTTATTAAACACACAGAATTTCATTTAGCTTGTAAATAAACCAATTACCATATGCAGACGAACCTCATCAAAATCGGAAATGATCTCATTCAATAAGCGCAAGCATTCGACACCTTCGTTGTTCGCATCCAGCTCCATATAGAATCGACTGAAGTCCGTTATTGTGATGAAAATTATACAAGCATTGTCTCTCGCCTGATTAAAAAAACATTAGAAAATACCGAACACCTAAAGCTTGAAGCAGTGATAAGCTTGTCATGTGCCCATATATACCGGTTTTGTCAACTTTCGAACAACCTAAACGTCCTTAATCATGGTCAACGACTGCTGAACAAGTGAGATCAAAGTATTTTTTGGAAACTAGTGACGGCTTTTAACCATCCACTTCAATACGCAAATATTTCTTAAAGATCTTCTACGCAGTTAATCGAAGCGCATGCATTAGAAATGAGCATTCGGCTACAAGAAGTGTAGGAAGTATTCTGGAAGAGGCGGAGCTTCTTATTAAATTTCAACTTGTGCCGTATTGAAACTAAACTACGACTACTACGACTTTTGGGCGAAACTGCATCTTTTCGAGCCGTCTTGTCCATTCCCCTTTCAAAAGTTTATTGCAAATTTTGCAGTTAGTTGAGCAGTTTTCCGTTTTCTGAAAACCTATTTTATCTGATTTTTTTGCTCCGCTGAGATTGAAAGACGAAACACACGTGTACAGTATCTTTCCTTCGAAAAGGACTCCTATTAAGCAAGCTCCATTCTTCCCTCGCCTAGTCCGGCCGCGGCAAGTAAATTGGTGTAAGACTCACTCCAACCCACAATGGTGGATAATTAATTATGGCGAAGATAACTCGCGATTCTAGGCAGAATCCAGCCGACCATCATTAAATGATATTAATGAAGCAGACTGAACCAAACGCAAATCCGAAAAGTTTTGTGGATGACGGAGGCACAGCTATGAGATAAATAGAAAAAGTATTGGCATCCGGATGATGTCTGATGAAGGATTATACAAATAAAGCAAAAAAAACCAACATTTATACTAGATTCACCGAGTTATTCCAAACCTCATATTTTATGTTCAGTAGTCTCTGAAGGCAACCTGTTCCGTACAATGAGTAGTTTCATTGTCAAACGTAATGTTGATATCGTAAGCGATTTCTACGGCTCTGTGTCCTGGTGTGGATTTGTACAGGAAAAGAAAAACGAGCTAGAATAAAAATGAAGAAGCCATTATGGAAATGTATAGACAACTCTGCGATATAAAGGTATGCTGTATGAATAAAAAAGGTAAAAGACATCATTTAAAACAGCAAAGCGTCCATGTTTAAAGACACAAGTTTTTTTTTCAAGAACGGGCCATCACTTGAACTTGGCATTAATGATCAATACTCTCCTGGATTGTTAAACTAATGCGAAGCTGATAAAATGGTTTACTCAGCTAGCCTTTCAACGTCCACGTCTTCTTAAGAGGCGATGATCCGAGTCGATGGTCTATAGTCGATGACGAGGATGAGTCGAAACATTAGCCGAATAAGCCTTTTTATCAGAATTGATGTAGTTTAACGATCAAAGTTTACACAATCCGACAGAACATATTGATCGGNAACGAGCTAGAATAAAAATGAAGAAGCCATTATGGAAATGTATAGACAACTCTGCGATTTAAAGGTATGCTGTATGAATAAAAAAGGTACATGACATCATTTAAAACAGCAAAGCGTCCATGTTTAAAGACACAAGTTTTTTTTTCAAGAACGGGCCATCATTTGAACTCGGCATTAATGATCAATACTCTCCTGGATTGTTAAACTAATGCGAAGCTGATAAAATGGTTTACTCAGCTAGCCTTTCAACATCCACATCTTCTTAAGAGGCGATGATCCGAGTCGATGGTCTATACGATGACGAGGATGAGTCGAAACATTAGCCGAATAAGCCTTTTTATCAGAATGGATGTAGTTTAACGATCAAAGTTTACACAATCCGACAGAACATATTGATCGGATTTCAGTACTTCCAACATTTGAGTCGTTTTCTCTCACTCCGTCACCCGTAAAAGTCTTCGTACCGGCGTGTGAATTCAGTTACTCCTTAAAAATTTTTGGTCTTCTTTATGAATTTCGTTTAATGCCTTTTGAGACGATTATCTCTAGAATGTTGCGATAGCCATTCGTGGACGTTCACAAGTCTTCCCCATAGGCAGTCGCAATCTTTTATGAATCATATAAACAGAACTGAGCCCAGAGAACTAGAGTACCGATTTCTTCACTCCAGACAGAGCGACGTGGAGTTTAATTGGCCAAATCGAGTCGAACCCGAGCGTTGAACTTATCGAGTGGTTTCAGTATAACAATACCACAGCCCTATTTTCACTCTTTATAAAGAAGAAGCTGCACAATTTTGAAACTGTGAAAACTACCATGACAGATAGCAAACGAATCGGCGTATAGATTAAAGGCATCAAATCAAAAACTGTTTACTATGGAAGATTACAGAAGATCTCAACTAACAAACCATTTTACAATTAACAAGAACGCTTAATTCTTAGCTCTCACTCTGGACTTTCTTTCTGCAAATTCCTGCAAATGTAGTTAAAACTTTAAATCAAAAGGAATACCTTCCGAAATCTGTTAGTTTTAAAGTGAGCCTAACCAAAAAAAGAAACTGTTGCTCACTTCATGGTAGAGATCTTTCGACTTGCTGCTAACTTTGTCCTCCAGGAAATGTTTAGCCACATGACTTGGTAGTATGTTCTCCAGCACGGATCGGTTCTGTGCGTGTCGTCTCTTCATTTCAAGTTGCTCGTCCAATGCCTGTGAGTGAGTGACATGGCTTCATACTTCAATATCGTAAACGTTACCTTTGCCCACTTCTCGATTATGGTAAGCGAAACAGGCAAAAAGGATCGAACCCATTCTGAATGAGGAAAACAGGGCGAATATAAATATGTGTAAAACCTAGGTTTTTGTAGCGTTTCAAACTACTACAACAATATTCTTTCCTTTGTCGGCACTCAACTTTTATCTATAAGTTACCATGTCATTTTGACTGAGAATGATCCCAGTTTTTGAACTGCCATTTACTGTGAGAATAATACACTTGACAAAACCATCGAGGAGTACGACAAATCGGAAACGCAAGTGAACATCAGAAACTCTCTCATTCCAGAAGGAAACTCAGTCACAAAGCGGTACATCTCTAGGCAATTCACAAGAGCTGGCGCTTAAATGTGATGATGACTTGTGAGTGCTCTTATAGGGTTATCTGACAGCCAGAAAAAAAAAAGTAAACACATCCTGTAAATAGTCACCATAATTAAAGCAACACTTGATCCCACAGATTTTTTGTAATGTATGCAGGTAAATTTCTGAGTTAGTGAAAGCATAGATCTTTTTTCTAATGTCACCATTTTTATAACAACAACCAATAAGCCCCGAATCGCAAAGCTCAAGTCAGATCTCAAATATTTGGAATTCCCATATAAAAACTCGAACCTGTAATTTCCAAATGAAGTCATATCTGGAGATCAGCTCTGATCGACGCGTTTGCATTATTATCAGGACCACTGCGAACGCTGCGGTGACCGTAAAGAAGATGCGCAGATCATCGATGATTGAAGAATTGCTTGAAGAGTTATCAATTAAAATTACTAGTTCAAATTTTCAGGTGGGTGTAGCGCAGTAGTTAAAAGTTCTTAGTAAGGCAAAAGTGATCTCAATTCGATCACATGATCTCCGGAGTCGGCAAATTAGTACCAGGTTTACTTGTTAGGGTAAAGGCATCGAACAGGGTTATTAGCAGACCCCAGTAAGTCATTCATTACACACGCCAGATATACATCTCATCACCTATGTGATAGTCGATGGACTTGAATGCGTGGCGAATCCCTAAGGAATTGAATCGCATCATATGCCTTTTCCCTTTTTTACGCCTCAGTTTAAACCCCTTTCCAAGATTCCCGAGACCGACTTTCGATTAATCTCGGCATTGATCAATAATTTACTGTTTTCTCCATGAGCAAACACGAGATTATTATTATTATTGTATTTAATTGTCCCCAAAAACCGACGTTTGGGTGGACTTCGCCTTCTTGAGACCCCGGGAAAAAGAAATCCAATGCAATCCAGTGAGCCAAATACCTCTATAACTTCAATAGAAAAAAAGAACACTTAAAGTGGTTAGTGTAGTTTGAACAAAATTAGCAGTCACAACGTTGCTGAGATATTTGCAAAACTCTGGACCGCAGGTGTCTATGGTGGGGAACGAACGCGCTATTATCCTT